TTGGACCTGAGCAGGAGGTTTGGATCAGGAGGGGTGGAGGGCAGTGGGGGGGTAGGAGGGTGACCAAAGGTGCGATCGAAGAGAAAGGTCTTGAGTCAGGCTTTGAAGGAGGCAAGGGAGGGACCGAGGTGAAGGGACTGCACGGTTAAAAGCATATGTTTAGTAGGTTTTTTTGGGGTCGGAAGAAGGAGAGGGAGTCAGAGGTTTTGGAAGAGGGCAGGGGTGGTGTGGCTGAAGACACAACACTAATGGTAAGCAGAGGGAATGAAGAACGAGTAACAGACCGGATACTGATGAGCAGAGGGTAGTCTCAGGAGCTGCCTGGCCTGCGTGCCGAGGGTGAAATGGCATTAGTAGGTCACAATTAGGAAGGAGCAAGGCCATGAAGGGCTTTGAAAGCGAGGACGAGGATTTTGAACTCGATCCTTTGGGGGATGGGGTTCCAGTGGAGCTGGGTGATGATGGGGGTAATAGGGTCATGGAGCCTAGTGTGGGAGAGGACACGAGCTGCAGAGTTCTGGATGATCTGTTGTGGAGGGAAGAGTTGGGAAGACCGACAAGCAAAGAGTTGGTGTAGTCAAGCTTATATGTAATAATAAAATAATATTCCTTGCGTTTCATATAGCGTCTAATCACATCTTCAAGACGTCTCAAAGCTCTTCACAGGATTTATGGTAAAGTGTAGTGACAGTATACTTTGAGGGCAAAATGCAGCAGCCAATGTGTCCCACAAACAGTGACTATATATATTTTTTAAGGGATTATTAGCCCCAGAACGTGAGCTGCCATTTGACTAACAAGCGGGTTCCCATTTACTGCTAGATAAACAGAGGTGTGTGTGTGGAGTAAGGAAAGTTGCCTAAATGTGTGGAAGCATGGTTGAGGGTTTCGGCGACCTGAGAGGCAGTGGCAGAGTCGGGCAATGTTGTGGAGGTGGGGGAAGGCAGAGCGGGTCATGGCACGGATGTGCAGTAGAAAGGATAGTTGAGGGTCAAACAAGACGCCAAGGTTCTGGACTGGCTCAGTGAGGTGGAGTGTGCAGCCATGGATGGTGATGCTGTCAGCACCTGAGGTGAGGAGACACTGACGGGAGTCGATCAGGAGAGCCTCGGTCTTGTTGACGTTCAACTGAAGAAAGTTCGCTCTCATCCAGGACTTGATGTCTGACCGACATTCTGTCAGGACAGCAGTGGTCCTGGAGTCGATTGAGTCTGCGGATGATGTCACCAAGAGGGAGCATGTAGAACATAACGGAGAAAAGCTTTGTGTTTAAAGCCCACTTAAATAATAATAATAATAATCCTTGCATTTGATATAGCGCTTTTCACGTCTTCTCGACGTCTCAAAGCGCTTCACAGAATAGACTGTAAAGTGAATTGACTGTATATTTGTGGGCGAAACGCAGCAGCCAATTGCGCACAGCAGTGTCCCATAAACAGTCGTGGATTGAAAATTAATTTTATTATTTTGTAATTTATTATTGTTTTGTTTTTTGGAGGGATTACTATTAGGTGTGTGGAATAAGGAAACTTGCCCAAGGTTTCGCCCTCTGCCTGGAATTGAACCCAGGTGTTTGCTTGCAAGGCGAGTGCTTTAACCACTGAGCTACAGGCTTAAAGCCCACCTGAACCAAAAGGCAGATGGGACCTAAATGAATACACTTGTATAATGTTTACACATAGGAGGAGCATCTCAAAGTGTTTCACAGAGAGAAGGGAGTTTCTGCCAGTGTCCTAGCCGACAGTTTCCAATATTAAATTGGTCATTCACGCCGTGGTTGTTTGTAGGACATTGCTGTGCACAAATTGACTGCTGCGCTTGCCCACAAAATACACAGTCACTGCACTTTACAGTCTGTCCTGTGAAGTGCTTTGAGGTGGCTCAACAATGTAATAAGGGGCTATATCAACTGTAAGGATTATTATTATTTCTTTCAAATCCTGCTGCCTCAATCCTGGCTTCACTTGGGGCATGTTCTTCGTTAAAAATTACTGCATCTTTGTACAATGTTCACGTCCTCAATGCCTTTCCCCATTTCCCATCAGAATATATTAAGAAGAAAGCTGCAGTTTGTATAAGCCAGAGATCCGATGCATAATCCCTCTTTACTGTTTCACATCCAATCTGTGTGCTTAATTGATTTGCTTCTATGCTGTATCTGACCTTCATCTGACCACTGCTGTTTCTCCCAGTGCCCTACAATCCTCATATCAAATGGTCATTCACTTCCACATCAGCCTGGCTGTTTGTGAGGCCTTGGTACGTGTCTTTGTCTTGCATGTTCGTCCAACGAAAAAAAGGCACTACCTTGACAGCAAATACTGGGAACCCCCTTGAGATATTTTGACACAAGGTGCTGTGAAACTACAAAGTTCGTTTGATCCGTAAATGTCCCATCTAAAAAAATCATATTAAATAAAAAGTGTCAGAATCAGGGTAATAATAATAATCCTTGTATTTGATACACACCTTATGGCGCCCTTGAGACATTTCAAAACGCTTCACAGGATATACAGAAAATGGATTAACTGATCCACTGTGAAATTTGTGGGAAAAACGCTGAAAGGAAAATGCCACATGATGGTCCAAATGCTCTCCTCCTTTGCTGATAATTTGTTTTAGTTCAGCATGGAACTGTTTAAGAAAGTGGTTCACAAAATAAGAAATGGAGTGTACTTTATTGGTGATTTGATTGAGGTTTAAAATAATGAAAGGTTGAATAGTGCATGATTCTTCATTTTGGTCGATCGATCCCTCGCTCCTGAGGTGTCAGCTTGACTCCTTTGTGTCTGAGTCAGAAACTTGTGGGTTCAAACCCAACTTCAGGGAGTTTGAATTCGCCTAGTCTAGACCGTCCAGTCCACTGCACAGTGTGCTCATTGTCGGAGGGACATCCGCCCGTGAAGGTGGTCGTAAAAGGTCCCGTGGCACTACTTGAAAAGAGAAGGGAGTTGTCTTGAACAACAATCTCTCAGATAAGATTGGTCATTCACTTCATGATTGTTTGTGGAACATTACTTTCTGCAATGTTTTTTAGCTACTGTGTTTATTTACAAAATATAGTCAATACACTTTACAGTAAATCTTATGAAGTGCTTTGAATTGTCTCGATGACATGATAAGGTGCTTTATCAAATAGAAGGATTATTTTTATTAATAAGTTCAGAACCAAGACACTAAGAACTGAGGTCAGGAAGCATTTCTTCACACAGAGGGATGTGAAGATGTGGAACACTCGGGGGTGGGGGTGGTGGAGCTCGGGGTGGGGTGGTGGTCGAGGGCATGGTCAACAAGATAGGTCATCGGTTTTGAAGGGGACGGACATGCCGGACTGAGATTGGTGCAGCATGACTGTAAACTTGACCTGATGATGGGGTGGATTCAGCAGGGGGACATGAAGCAGGTCAGTCTTTGCTGAGGGGAGGGAGTGGCCAAGACATTTGGGGCACAGAGGTAGGGTGGGGGGAGACCATGGACTTTTTTGGGTGTGGCGGGCAGCTCGGTGTCTGACTTTGGCTTGCAGGGTTAATAGAAGCTATGTGGGAGGATTCCCTGCCCCCAGTGATTGGTCTGGGACATTTGAAAATGAGGACAAGGATCTAGAATTCAATCCGTTGGGGAATGGGGAGTCAGTGGAGCCGAGTGAGGATGTGGATCTGAGGATGGAGAGATCTGAATGGTCTGCAGCTTGTGTAGGGAGGTGATAGGCAGTCTGGTGAATAGGTCATTGCAATAATTGACCCTCGACGTGATGGTGTGGTGAGGATCGCAGAAGGGGTGGGGGGGGAGCGGGAAGCAAGTAATGGTGGAGAACGTTACCGCGCTGAGGCAAAGCCCCACGAGTGAGATGTAGGTTTTGAAGGACATTTAGAGGTGAAGCAAGATACCAAGGTTCTGCTCCAGCTCGAAGTTGGAGTAAGTATCTATGCAGATCAATGCATTCAGGGTCTGAGATGAGAAGACAAGCAGGAGAGGCACAGTCTTGTTGACATTGACCTGTAGACACTTAGACCTCAATCAGAACTTGATATCTGATAGCACAATCTAATAGGACTACCCTTGATTCTGGAATCAGGGGTGGAGGCAGAGAGATCAAATAAATGTGGAAGTGGACCCTGTGCCATGGGGGAAGCATATAGACAGTGGAAAGGAGAGGATGAGGATAGAGCACCGATGAACATCGCATGTAACTGTGCAGGGGTGGAAGTGGAAGCCGTCGGAGGAGACTAAGTGAAGACTCTAGGATAAATAAGAGTGAAACAAGGAAGCATACTTAGTTAGTAGAGGTATTAAAGGGCATGGTGAAAGTGTGGAGCAATGGAATTAAAAGTTTTGCCAAGAAATGTTGAAATCAAATCCACCACCTGTGGCAGTCTCTAGTCCGGTTGCTGAGCCAGGCAGGTCCGTAGTGTTCCATGGCACTGCTGATGACATATCAGCCTGCCTACCTGGTCAGATATACCTGAGTCCAAGGATTCAGCAATTGATCATGAAAAGTATTTGCCAGCATTAGAAATTTGCAACTAGACTAATCCCCAGTGTAATGCACAGTAAAGAGACCAGAGACATATCCTTATCATCCCGGCAAAGAAAGTGGTTAAGAGCAATCTAATTTGCATTGATGTTATTCTTTTCTTCTCTTCCCTTGATTCTTAATTCTTAATTCACTTAATTCAGTGGGTGAATATACAGGATGAATCAAAAGTCCTAACTCGTAGGTCTATATGAGATGTTCACACGGCATGTCAAGTAGATGTTTATACATAGCAACTTGGTGACAAAAATTTTCACAAACACAATGAAGGAGCAATAGCTGCACACTCTCGTTGAATGCCTTTTTAAAAAATTAATAATGAACATTTCTATGAGTAAGGACTTCTGATTCACCCTGTATAAAGGGATCCTCTTAATTTGGATGACTTTCCCAATGGATCGCCTTAAGTCAGCGCAGTGCATGACCGATTGATTTGGGACTTGTGTTGTTAAATCTGTTTCGTTAGGTGCAGTGGAGCGGATTGGAGTGAGGCACTGCTACAATGGCTCGAGGCAAAACCTCTACATAGACAAAACAACAAAAGTCATTTGCCAGGGCTTTACTGGGAAGCAGGTGCGTCTTGTTTGGCTGCCTATGAATCTTGTTTTAACATTTAATATCTATTTTTAATTTGTAAAATCATGCCTGACATGTAATGACAATATTACATATTAATATTCATCTTAATAATTCTTGAATTTGATCAGCGCCTTTCAAATCGGGAGGACATCTCAAAGATCTTCCCAGGATTTACTGTAAACAACAACAAGATTACATTTGTATAGCGGCTTCCACGTCGGGGGGACATCTCAAAGGTGGGAAATTTCAGACCTTTTGATTTTTGAAAGGTTGATGAATAAGATCCCATGGCCCTATTCGAAAACAGAAGGGAGTTTCTCCAGGTCTCCTGGCTAACAATCCGCCCTGAGTTAAAACAAATGTTCATTTACTTCATGATCGTTTGGCTGTCTTGTCTACAGAAATACAGTTGCTAAACTCCTGTGAAGCACTTTGAGATGTCCTCTTGATGTGAAAGCCACTGCATCAAGTGCAAAGATTATTATTAGTATAAGGATTCAAGGTCCTAAAGTGCACAGATAAATAATCTGATCCTAACAGTATGGTAATGTGTTCAAAAACAATCCAGACCAAAGAGAGATATACTTCTGCTCAGTGGAGTATAAAGATAACACAAATCACTGCATACCACAGGGGTGTTTTATAGGTTGATGTTGATTTCCTCATTTGCACAGTCTCTGCAGGTTTGGAATAACTAAGCTCCATACAGCTACCTCTGGCTTTACAGGATGAAACAGCCTAAGAACAAAAGAGATGAAACCAGGGAAACCCTGTTAGAACCCTGTTGTTTTGCGATCTATTATTAATATCTATTACATTTTCAACCTGCGTTTTAATAATAATCCTTACATTTGGTATAGCACCTTTCATGTCGGGAGGATGTCCCAAAGTGCTTCACAGGATATACTATAACAACAACAACTCTATCTCTGAGTAAGTGGATGAGATGCTTTGTAGATGACATAGATGTGTGTTCATTGGGAAACTGCTTTGTGAAATACTGCGTGAGATGACGGAGTGTAAAAGAAGCTTTAATACAATGTAAATGCATTGTCTTCTAATGGGAGAGCATAGACCTGACAGGTGAAAAATCACTCAGAGGATTGACGCGTTCTTTGAGTTATTGAGTTATTTCCCATCACAGATTGATTGCTTTTAAGGTGTTCATTACATTTCAAGATCCTCATCCTCACCTACAAGGCCATTCACGGCCTTGCTCCCTCCTACCTCTCTGACCTACTATCCCCCTACCTACCTGCCCGTACCCTCCGTTCCTCTGGCTCCGGTCTGCTCCACATCCTCCGCCCCAACCGCCCTACCATCGGTCCCCCTTACTATCCCCCAGTGCCTTCGCCGCCTCCTCCCTCTCCTCCTTCAAGGCCGGTCTCAAGACCTTTCTCTTTGACCGTGCCTTCAGCTCCCCTCTCGACTCTCTTCCCCCTCCTCGCTCCCTCCCTTCCCTCCCCTCACCATTTCCCCCCTCCTCGCTCCCTCCCTCCCCTCACCCTGACCATTTCTCCACTGCTCGGGTCCTGACCCAACTCCAACTGTACAGCGCCTTGGGACGTCCTCCCGACGTGAAAGGCGCTCTATAAATGGAATCTTGTTGTTGTTGTTTAACGTATTAACTGTTTGACGGTCTGAGTTTTTAAATGGATGAACATTTCCTCCACTTAATATGACCTGTTTTATTTGAGGTCATAACTAAGATCTGTTATGATTGACCTGTTAGTAAAACTGACTGTGTGCAAATGTTCTTCTGCTTCACGTTTTTTAAAGCTGCGTTGACTGACGTTTGTTCCTCCTGTCCTCTTTGTTATCCTTGCAGCTGGAACCTGTGCAGTAACCACACAATGGCTGGTTACTGAAGGTCTCCAGTACTGTTCCTCGAAACAGATACAAACTAAAGCCTCCTGAGGCTGAGGTTCAGTCTCTCTTGTCGTGACAGTCGTGCAGTGCTGGAATACATAACCCTGCATCTCGCTCCCTCTTTATCTGTCTTTAAATCTCAAACTCTGCCACCTGCATACTCACCTGCACCATCACACCAGTTCCAGCCAGGCTCTACTCAACAATGTAAATTGTTGTTGTTAAACCCCTCCCGTACAACCTACCTCTTCAACTGTGCCTTTGGTCCTTCCTTGAAGTCCAACCCATCTTTGTGACACGTTCCAAGACATTATCCTACACGAAGGGCTTTATATAAATGCAAGTTGTTATTGTACATTTGATTCTGCCCTGCAACCTACTGAGTTACCTGTTCATGGTCCTAGTTGGAGTAATTTTCTTCTTTCTAGGGAACATTCCACAGTCAGCAAGCTTTGGAATATGGCACTAACATGGTCGGAGGAGTATCGCCAGGAAAAGGGGGTAAAAGCCACTTGAACTTGCCCGTCTTCAACTCTGTTAAAGAGGTAAGGACTGCAGGTGAATACGAATGCTATTGTTCATTCACTTCATAATAATAATCATTCGTGGAGTCCTGTAGCTCAGTGGTTAGAGCACTCGCTTTGCAAGTGAGAGACCTGAGTTCAATTCCAGGCAGAGGGCGAAACCTTGGGCAAGTTTCCTTACTCCACACACCTAATAATAATCCCTCCAAAACAAAACAAAAACAATAATAAAAATTGGTTATTTTCAATCTATGACTGTTTGTGGGACATTGCTGTGCGCAATTGGCTGCCGCGTTCGCCCACAAATATACAGTCAATTCACTTTACAGTGTGTTCTGTGAAGCGCTTTGGGACTTCCTCCCGACGTGAAAAGCGCTATACCAAATGCAAGGATTATTATTATTATTATTCTTACATTTGGTATAAAGTCAGGAGGATGTCTCAAACCTGGCCGACGATCCCCCAAATAAAATTGACCATTTACTTTGGGGCTGTTTGCGGGACATGGATGAGCACAATTGAGCTGGCGCAATCACCTATGAATACCATCACTACACATTTAACAGTAAATCTTGTGAAGTGCTTTGAGACCTCTTGATGAAATACAAGGATTATCATTATTGCGTGAAAGATGTTACGCAAGTCCAAATTGCTGTTATTAGGTGTGCTAGCCAACAATCCCTGTGATAAAATTGATCATCATGGCTGTTTGGGGTGACAACAACAATAACAAATTGCATTATATAGAGCCTTTCATGTAGGAAGGACATACTAAGGCACTGAAATAACATAGCCATTACAGGGTGCAAAATAGCTGCCACATTCACCTACAGATACAGTCACTACACTTTACAGTGTATCCTGTGAAGCACTTTGAAATAGCCTCCTGGGGTGAAAGGCATTATATCAATAATAACAATCCATACATTTGACATAGCGCCTTATCACATTGTTAAGACGTCTCAAAGCGCTTCACAGTGTATATTGTAAAGTGTAGTGACTGGGCAAAGTACGGCAGCCAATTGCACACAGGATTGTCTCGCAATCATTTGTGGATTGAGTGACCAAATTATTATTTATCATATCAAATGCAAGAATTATTATTCATAAATCTTCTGATGTGTGCTTTCAGGCGAAAGAAGGCACAGGAGTCGATGCGTCTGTTATCTACGTGCCTCCCCCATTTGCTGCTGCGGCCATTATTGAGGCAATCGATGCGGAGGTACCCCTGGTGGTGTGCATCACAGAAGGAATCCCCCAGCAGGACATGGTGCGGGTCAAACACAGACTTGTCCGTCAGAGCAAGACCCGTCTTGTTGGCCCCAACTGTCCAGGAGTGATCAACGTAAGCAGAATAGTCGTTAGTCATGTTGTCACACTCAGTGCTCGAGTGGAGCTGCTTTGAGTTGGGATTCTTGTTTGTACTTCCTCTAAGAGAAAGGAGTTTCTCCTGCTGTTCTGGCCAACAATGCTCCAGTTTGATCTTTCACTTTAGGCTGTTTGTGAGCTATCGCTACGCACAAATTCGCCATCACGATCACCCACAAATACACGGTCACTTTACTTTTACACACGTTTTGCCATCACTTGGCATTGTTCAAATCCCAGGATTATTATTTATCTTATTGCTCCGTGCTTTGTGCTCTGATGAGGGGTCTTGTTCTGTAGACCCTGGCAGTGGTATTCCACTCAAGTGGGCTAGGAGGCTCAGGGCATCACCGCGAATCCCAATTTAAACCTTACCTGACATCCACACATGCACTTTATTGCATGAGTTGGGACTCTGTGATTGGATGCAGGAATGCTGACTGATTTTCTTCCCTCCTGAGTCACGTGTAGTTAGAATTTGTGATTGCTATGTAATTGCTATTGTTGCACTTACTGTGATCCTAGCTAGACAAGCAACTGGAAACATGCCAGATAGTGTTTGTAACGGCAAGCTACGTGGTTTTAGCTGGTTAAACTCATAGAGTCTCGTAGTGCAGTGGTTAGCATGCTCGCCTTGCGAGCGAGAGGACCAGGATTTGATTCTCCAGCAGGGTGAAACCTTAGGTAAGTTTCCTTGCTCCACACACCTCTGTTTACCTAGCAGTATGTAGGAACCCAGTTGTTAGTCGATTGGTAGATCCCTTTCCGGGGATAATCCCCCCTCCCTCCACAAAACATTTGGTCACTCAATCAACGACTGTTTGTGGGACACTGCTGTGCATAATTGACTGCTACAATATATTCTGTTACATATTATTCTGTGAAGTGCTTTGAGACATCTTAACGATGTGATAAGGTGCTATATGAAATGCAAGAATTATTATTAAGAGTAGGCAAAGACTGAATTCCCTGTTGCATGTGGTGTGCTCTCTGCCCTTTTCAATAATGTCCAACATCCGTTTCTCAATAATTTCTTAATACCCTCAGTTTAAACAGCTACCCCATGTGAAGGGCGCTATATAAATGCAAGTAGTTGTTGTTGTTGTGTCCATTGCGTTATTCACTGATTGTTTAATCTTTTTAAGCCAGGGGAGTGTAAAATTGGAATCATGCCTGGACACATCCACAAAAAAGGTCGTATTGGTGAGTGTTGGTTGGGAATTGGCTGTTGGCTTTAGAGGTACCTTTTAATTTCCTGAATTTCAATTCACGACAAAGTAATGCACTTTAATATCGTTTTTATTTTCTGTCTTGATTTTCTGTTTGTGTGTTTTTAAATCTATGAAGTTTATGTAGTAAATGTGAATATACATACATGCATATGCAGCCTCCTTCAACTTTGCTGGCCCGGCTGTTCCCTTTGCTCAGCGAGCTCCGGCCTGCTTCACTTCCCCTGCCTTAACTGCCCCACTATCGGCGGGGGAGCTTTCAGCCATTTTGCCCCTGCTTTCTGGATTTCCATCCCAGAGTACCTCCAACTTGCTCCCTCCCTCACCATGTTCAAAGCATGTCCCAAATTGTACCTCTTTGATCGCGCTTTTGGGAATCTTTTCCATCTCCTCTCCCCTTGTCTCCCACTTATATCCAGCTCAGGTGCCCATCTAGTACTTTGAAGAGTTATAGCAAAATTCTGATAACTCAACCCTGGCTTAACTTGTCACTAACACTTAGTCATTATGTTGTCAGTATCCCGGCTGTATTTATTTATGCATTTATATATCTGCCTAATTCGCCATTCTGGATAAATCGTCACTGAGCCCTGTTCCCTTTCGGTGATGAATTATCAGGCGTTCACGGTATGTAAAGGCGCTATATAAATGTAAATTGTATTGTGTATATATGTTTTATGGACGTTGCTGTGCATGAATTGGCTGTTGCATTTGCCTACAAAGTATAGTCATTACACTTTACAGTAAATCCTGTGAAGCGCTTTGAGACATTTCTATTATGTGGTAGGATGCTATGTTAAATGCAAGGATTATAAAATACTTACCCTTGCTTTTGATATAGCGGCTTATCATGTCATTGAAACTTCTCAAAGCAGTTCACAGAATATATTGTAAAGTGAATTGACTATGTATTTTGTGGGTGGAAAGTGACAGCCAATTGCCAATTTAGTTTTATTGTTTTTAATAAATTTTATTATTAGCAATATTGCATCCTGAACCAGGAAAGCTGTGCTCTGCACTAGCTGTTGAGCTACAATAATCGTATTTGGAAATCTGTGAGGCGGAATAGTGCGCAAAATTTCTCTCTTAATTGATTTTATTATGTTAAACAGTCTTTTTTTAATAGGGATTGTGTCAAGGTCCGGCACTTTAACATATGAAGCTGTTCATCAGACAACGCAAGTTGGCCTGGGCCAGTCTCTCTGTATCGGTAAGTCACTCCAGTGCATACAGGAATAACTGGTGACTATCCTCCTTGGGGGTGGGGGGTAAGCAGGTTCTCCTTGGAGCTGAACTGGCTCCAAGGTGACATGCCTGGCAATGGTACGTCATAATCAAGCCAGCCTTCTATGACCGTCTCTAGTCCGGTTCCTGAGCCAGGAAGGTCCGCAGTATTCCAGGGTGCTGCTGATGGCAGCACAGCCCAGGCTGGCTCATCGGCAGGACTTGGAACAGACCAGTCACTTAACTTTAGGGTGGTCCTAGCTCGACAAGCAGTGGGTAAGCTTACCAGATGGCACACGAGACACGTAAGCTATATATATATATATATATATCATACACCAACAGCAGTCTGCATGCAGTATAGAGTCTGGGAGGGCTGCACAGTGGCGGGGTTGGATGCCGAGCAAGGGGGAGGAATGACTACAGGTGTGTTTGAAGAGGTAGGTCTTAAGATGGGATTTAAATATTGATAAAGAAGTGAGGAGGTGAAGGGATAGCGGTAGGGGGTTCCAGAGGTTAGGGAATAGTGACTGAAGGCATGGCAACTGATGGTCAGAGGGGTCGGGAAACATGCAGCAGGCCTGTATTAGCCAAGCGGTGAGGGTCGGAGGGGGGGCGGGGGGGCGAGGAGGGGGATATGAGCAAGGGTACTGTAGGTACTTGTTCCTCTTTTCTGTGGTTTTGACTTGTTTCCCAACCCTCAAGTCAAGAGCAAATTTGCTCAGCAAAATAGATTGAGCTTTCCCTGAAACATTGCTCTGAAAACGCCAAACACTAGTGACTGGTGTAAAACAACAACTTGCATTTATATAGTGCCCTTCATGCAGAGCAGCATCCCAGAGTGCTTGTAGGACCAGGCTGAGCTCTTGACACACAGAGGCATCAGAAATCTCATCAACAACTTGCTCACACCCAACTCCTCTATCCTCCCCCTTCGTTCAACTGGCTGTGGCCTCTTGCACGTCCCTCGCCCTTCCAGTCCACCTCTCCCGATCCCAACCCCCAGTTCAGGTCCTAATGCTTGACTGTCCTGCGTCTTGACTGCCCTGCACCTTTCCGACGTGAAAGGCACAAAACAAATGTAATTTGTTGTCCTTCAGGCTGAGGATTTGTCTGACAAGAGATGAGTTTGACGTTACGGAGACGGAGACCTGTTAATTTTGATTTCTCTGAATTCCTAGGTATCGGCGGCGATCCTTTCAACGGGACTAATTTTATCGACTGTCTAGATGTCTTTCTGAAGGATCCGAGGACGGAGGGCATCATCCTGATCGGAGAAATCGGAGGCAGTGCTGAAGAGGATGCAGCTGAGTTTTTAGAACAGAATAATTCGGTGTGTGCTTGAAGAGGGTTTATGCCAACACTTGTATAGCACCTTTCACGTAGGGCTGCATCTCAAACCCCTTCGCATAACAGGTTCCCCTGACTGCTAAATGCAGGCTATGCAGTTTCCTCACTGCTCATATCAGCTAAGATCAGGAGAGCTTCACTTTGTTCTTTAGACTGAATCAGGGTCAGTTGCTAACCTTTCGGCTTGAGTCAGAAGGTAGTCAGTTCAAGGCCCTCATCTGGATATTGAGCTCCCATCTAGGCTGATGCTGCATTGTCGGAGGTGCCGTTCTATAGTTGAGACATTAAACAGATGTCCTGACTGCTGTTCAGGTGGATGTTAAAAATCCTACTGCACTATTCAAAAAGAGAAAGGAATTTCTCTCGGTGTCCCGGCCAGATAAAATACTTTCTGGTATTAAGTAAGTAGAATGTATTCCTCCAGGGAGAGAGTGCGCATTGCGGTCCAGACACACCTTGTGTGGGTTGCATATGTGGAACTCTGGTTTGGATACTCTTTAAGCATAGTGATGGGTTTATGCACGTGTCAGACACCCAGCTGACCCCCCAAACAAGTTCTCTTACCCGTGTTATTTTGGTCAACTGAGTGTCTTGAGAGTTCCAACATGTGCACGTGACCTACTCATGAAAAATTCCCTGTGTTAGGAATGGAACCTACTCTCTAGAGAGACCGCCAAGCTCCCCTAATCCCAGAAAGATTAGCCGCCAGTTGGTGAGAGCTTTAGTTTAGGGACCCCAGTGATTTGGCGGTGTCAAGTATCTTTTTTCAAAAGGTCTTGTTTCATGCACTTGTTGTCTTTTGCGACTTTTTGCCTGGTTTCTCGGGAAGAAGTGGGCCTGAGGAGGAACTAGTATTCAAAATGAAATGATAGATGGAATTTTTGAGAACAAAAATTTAAGAGGGTGGAAGTTCGTGTGGAGTATAACCTTCCTGCCCCGCGTGCTGTAAAGCTCTATGCGATCGATCATTCACAACTGGTGATCATTCACTTCATGGCTGTTTGTAAAACGTTGCTGTGCGCAAATTGGCTGCCGTGTTCACCTGTAAGCAAAAGTCACTACACTTTACAGTAAAATTCTGTGTAGCGCAATGGGAGATCTTGTCATGAGGGGCTATATCAAATGCAAGGATTATTATTAATTCTATGTAGCCTGCACCTAAGTTGCGTCTTTCAGGTAAGATAATGTACCGAGATGATTTTAAACCTGAAAGGATAGTTTGATTCATATTTTGCCTGTGAGTGTTTTTTTGTCTACAAAATGTGTGATCGCTAAACTACTCAATCCACAACTGTTTGTGGGACACTGCTGTGATGCAGTTGGCTGCCACGTTTCGCCCACAAGATACCCAATTCACTTTATAGTATATTCTGTGACTCCCTTTGAGATATCCTCCTGATGTTTTGAGCACTCTGTTAAATATAAGGGTTATTTATTTTCCTGAAGATGTGTTTGCAAACAACAGGTGCAGTGTTGTGTGTTGCACAGCGATGTTTTGGACAAGGCATCACAGGAGAAATCATTGTTTGGGCACGAGGGCCAGATGGCAGCCCCGGCGTTAACATTCATCTCACTTACTGCTCTCTGCGGACTCGCGGTTGAATGTGGTCCAAAGGAGCGTGACGTTATTGGTCTCCTTTCTTTCTCCAGCAGCTGTTGAGGGCCACAAGGAGATTGACTCCAGTCACTGCCAGCATGGCAATCCGTGTTAGCTAGGAATACACAATCAGAGGTTCAGAGCTGGAGATGTCCCTTCGAGGAGACTCTGTTCTGCTTCGGTTTTTCTTAAATTTCCTGCTTGATTGATATGCATGTTGATTTTTGTAAGAGATTTGATTTGGAGGCTGTTTCTCTGCAGCTTGAAACTGACTAACTCCAGAGCTTATTGACTGCAGACTGGGACTTAACAATGATAATAATTATGAAAATAATAATCATGATAACAATAATTTGTGGAGTCCTGTAGCTCAGTGGTTAGAGCACTCGCTTTGCAAGCGAGAGACCTGAGTTCAATTCCAGGCAGAGGGCGAAACCTTGGGCAAGTTTCCTTACTCCACACAGAGCCTAATAATAATCCCTCCAAAAAAAACAAAAACAATAATAAATTGGTCATTTTCAATCTACGACTGTTTGTGGGACATTGCTGTGCGCAATTGGCTGCCGCGTTCGCCCACAAATGTACAGTCAATTCATTTTACAGTGTGTTCTATGAAGCGCTTTGGGACGTCCTCCCGACGTGAAAAGCGCTATATGAAATGCAAGGATTATTATTATTATTAATCCTTGCATTTGGTACATTGGAACAGGAGTAGGCCATTCAGCCCCTCGAACCTGTTCCTCCATTGTATTCGATCGTGGCTGATCTGATCCTCAACTACAATTACCCGTCCTTGTCCCATATCCCTTAATACCTGACCTAACAAAAATCTACCTCAGTCTTGAAAATGTGAATGGATTCAGCATCCACAGCCTTTTGGGGGAGAGAGTTCCAGATTTCCACTACCCTTTGGGTGAAAAACTGCCTCCTGATTTCACTCCTAAATGGCCGAGCTCTTAATTTAAGATTATGCCCTTTGTTCTGGATTCTCCACCAGAGAAAATAGTTTCTCTGTAACTACCCTATCAAATCTCTTCAGCGACTTGGGATGTCCTCCCAACATGAACGGTGCTATACAAATGCAATTTTGTTGTTATCATTTTAAACACCTCAACCAGATCACCCCTCAACCTTCTACAGACCACGTTTATAACCATGGCCTTATAATTTAGCCCTTTAAGCCCTGATATCATTTTGTGAATCTGCTCTGGACCCCCTCCAGGGCCTTTTTATATATGTACAGCGCCTTATCACGTCATTGTGATGTCTTAAAGCCCTTCACAACATTTACTGTAAGGTGTAGTGACTGTGTGTTTTGCAGACGAACACAGCAGCCAATTTGAGCACAGCAGTGTCCCACAAACAGTTGTGAAATGAATGACCAGTTTTATCTGGAGATTGATCAACAGGACACCAGGAGGGAGAAACTCCCTTCTCTTTAACCTAGTATATCGTTGGCTTGTCGATTCTCTCCCCCTCTGACTTTGGCTTGCTGCCTCCACTTGAGCCTTAACAATTCTGCCACGTTCCGTGACTTTAATAGTAATAACAATATTAATAATCCTTGCAGTTGATATAGCGCCTTACTTTGTTGATATGTCTCAAAGTGCTTCATAGAATATATTACAAAGTGAATTGACTATATTTTGTGGGCGAACCACACCAGCCAGTTGCGCACACAATGTCCCACAAACAGTCGTGCAGAGTGAACAATTTTTTTTTTTTTTGGAGGGATTATTACCCTCGAAACGTGATCTGCCAATTGAATAAGGGTTCCCACTTACTGCTAAATAAACAGAGGCAAACAAAGGGAAACTTACTCCACACGCCTCTGTTTATTTAGAGTGCTCTAACCGCTGCGCTACAGGACTCCACTGGCTGTCTGCACAAGGTCAAGGTGGCTGGGGGTAGAAATTTGGCATTCAACCACAAGTATATGGGAGCTCTGTGAGCCCTTTGTGTCAAGGGATCTTTAACGCCCTCCTAAACAGTCAGTTGGGGCCTCGGTTTAACGTCTCATCTGAAGGAAGTCACCTCCGACAATGCAGCTCTCCCCCCAGCACTTAACTGGAGTGTCAGCCCAGCCGTCACCTCTCAGGTTTCTCTTTACAACTGAAACCTCTTGTCCCTGTTGACATCCTAGGGAATCTTTAGTCCTCGTTACTCAGTCTTTAACTGGTTTTGTGCTCTTTTTGTTTCTCACAGGGACCCAACGCTAAACCAGTGGTGTCGTTCATCGCTGGTCTGACTGCCCCACCGGGTCGCAGGATGGGTCACGCCGGTGCTATCATTGCCGGGGGGCAGGGAGGAGCCAAAGAGAAGATCTCTGCCCTGCAGCGCGCTGGCGTGGTGGTCAGCATGTCACCCGCACAGCTTGGCAGCACCATACACAAGGTAAAACGCATTTCCTTTGGTCCTGGGTCCGTGCAACAACAGCAACTTGCATTTCTATAGCGCCTTTCACCTGTGCTCTCTTTGACCGAGCCTTCAGCTCCCCTCTCGACTCTCTTCCCCCTCCTCGCTCCCTTCCTTCCCTCCCCTCCCCCTGACCATTTCCCCCCTCCTTGCTCCCTCCCTTCCCTCACCCTGACCATTTCCCCCTGCTCTGGTCCTGACCCAACTGTGCAGCGCCTTGGGACGTCCTCCTGACGTGAAAGGCGCTTTATAAATGGAATCTTGTTGTTGTTGTTGTTGTGCAGACCTGAATGTTGCTTTCTCTCTGACCAATGACTTTTGTCCTGCAATGTATCAGCCTGGAGCAGCGGTAGATCTCTTATCTCCGAGTCAGAAAGTTGTGGATTCAAGCCAGTGCTGGGGGTCCACTGCGCTGTCAGAGGTGCTGACCTTTGGATTTGGATGAGACGTCAAACAGAGGTCCTGTTTGCCTGTTCAGTGGATGTTAAAGATTTTGTAGCACTGTTCCAAAAGAGAATTCTTCCAGAGTCCTGGCCAACAACCCCCCCCCAAAAAAAAATTGGGTACTCACTTTATGGCTGCACGCAGTTTCACAATACTGTCCAAATTGAGCTCCCCAGATTGTTTAGCTTCAGATTGATGGGCTTGTAAGCAAGTACAATGCTGCTGCTTTTATAGCTCCTCAGTGAGGTCCTTTGATTAGAAATTGTGCAAATTGCCTGTCACTTTGTTTCAGACACAGTGATATTGCTGCAAAGAAATATGGTTTGTGGGGGGAAGAGGGGAACACTTGTGGGTAGCTAGAACCAAAGCTCATGATGTTTGTGCAGCTGAATTGAGGACCAAACTGAGTTGGTTGCACTCTTGCCTTCGAGTCAGAAGGTTGTGAGCTCACAGTCTGTGCTGCTGCTCCCAATACAGGGAGAGCTGCATTGTCGGAGATGCTGTCCTTTAGATCACAAGATCACATAATTGGCCTGGATTAAGAAGGCCCTTTGGCCCATCCAAACTCATCTCTCCAGAATCCACTCTGCCACCTCCCATTACTGCATCAAGATACTTTTTAAATGAATCCAAGTGTCCAGACCTCAGCCTCAGTTCATGGCAACCCTGTTCAAGTCATTAATTATCATCTGTGTAAAGAAACCTTCCTGGTGACTATCCTGAAGTTGGCTTTACAAGTATGTCCTCTTGTTCTATTGTCATGGTACACCCTAAAGTATTGTTCTGGGTTTACTTTTTTCAGTCGCATTTAACATTCAATACACCTCTATTAGGTCCGCTCTGAGGCATCTTCTCCCCAGCTGTCTATGCTCACAGCTCATTCCTCTAACACTGGGGATCATCCTCATTGCTCTCTGCATCACCTCAGCCCCCTTATGTCGTGGTAACCAGAATGTTTGCAGTATTCAAGGTGTGGCCTGACCAGAGCACTGCATACTGAGCCTGAGAATGACGTCTGGGAATCTAAACTCAACTAATTTAACAATATGGTCCAACAACAGCAGCAAATTACATTTGTATAGCGCCTTTCACAGCATCCTGTTCGCAGTTACTGTCTGCCTGTTCAGGTGAACATAAAATTCTTGTGGCACTGCTCGAAAAGAGAAGGGAGTCTTTCCCCATGTTGTGGCCAAGAATCCTGCAAGTGTCTATACACCTTGGCTGTTGTGAGAGATTTCCTCTCTGATTTTGTATAGTGCCACAGGATGTTTAACATCAACCTGAACAGTCAGACAGGTCCTCGATTTAACGTCTCATCTGAAGGACAGCACCTCCGACAATGCACCCCGCCCACCCCCTCAGCACTGCACTAGAGTGTCAGCCTAGACTGAGTTCAAAATCCCTAAGTGGGGCTTGAACCCACAATTTAACACTGTTCAAACACTGGGTGTAATTCTCTTTGTTACCACCAAGTGGCAGCAAAATACTGTTCACCTCAGTTGCTGGTGCCTTCGGCTGTGGTGGATGTTCTGAAGCCACAAGGTTAAAGTAAGAACAAATCTTGATTTTCACAACTGCACTGCAATGCTTTGTTTCAGATTGAAAAATAAAACTGGTCATTGACTTCAATTTTTTTTAAAAAATAGTAATTTAGTCACTCAATCCACCACTGTTTGTGGAACACTGCTGTGCACAATTGACTGCCACGTTTCACCACAAAGTATATAATGATAATCCTTACATTTGATATAGTGATTTTCACGTCTTCTAGACGTCTCAAAGCGTTTCACAACATGTACTGTATAGTGAATTGACTGTATGTTTGTGGGTGAAACGAGGCAGCCAATTGCGTGCAGCAGTGTCCCACAAACAGTCGTGGATTGAGTGACCAGTTTATTGTTTTTTTTGAAGGATTATTATCCCCAGAAAAGTGATCCACCAATCGACTAATAACCGGGTTCCTTCTCACGCTAGGTAAACAGATGTGTGTGGAGTAAGGAAACTTGCCCAACATTTCACAATGTTTCAAAGACGTGATAAGGCGCTATATCAAATGCAAGAATTATTATTTGCACTGTGTGTAAATGGATACAAAATACAGTCACCACACTTCATGGAAACTCTGTAAAGTGCTTCGGAAGTTGTGGACCTGCTAAGATGCTCTGTTACAGATTTAGCTGTTGGGTATAGGAGTAGGTGGAGGCTTATGCTGAGCATTAACACTGGTGTGGACGAGTTGGGCTTAATGACTTGTTTCCAGGGTGTAACATGGAACAAGTAACTCCAGCAGAGACTGTCGCAAAGCACAGCAGTGTGTACCCAGCAAAAACACCATTTTCTTTAAGATAAAGGCCCTTACCTCTGCAACTTCCTCTCGCTTCACCCTAAAATGCCACCTTAAAATCTACCTCTTCTACAATAGCTGAGTTCATCTCCCCCTTCTCCCACCCACCTTGCTTAGCATCTGACTCCAGCACTGTAAAGAGCTCCAAGATGTTATCCTATATGAAGGAACGTAGGAACAGAAGTAGGCCATTCAACAACAACAACTTGAATTTATATAGCATCCTTCACGCGATGCAGTGTCCAGGAGCTCCCCGATGTGAAAGGTGTGATACAAATGTTGTTGTTGTTGTTGAGCCTCTCGCTTGAGCCCGAAGCGCTCAGCCCCATGAGCCTATTCTGCTGTTCTATAAGATCATGGCTGATCTGTACCTCAACTCCAGTCTGTACTCGCCCTTGCCCCATATCCCTTGATACTCTGACCTAGCAAATATTTGTCCACCTCAGTCTTGAACATTTGAATGGATCCAGCATCACAGCCTTTTGGATAAATGCAAGGCTAAAGGTCACTGTATGAAACAACCCTTTTTTAATAATAATAATTCTTGCATTTGATATTGAGCCTTATCACGTCTCTGAAATGTCTCAAAGCGCTTCACAGAATATACTGTAAAGTGGATTGACTGTATTTTTCGAGCGAAACGCACACATTTTTAATATATTTAATAAAAGATATTTTAATTAGTATAATTTAATAAAAAAGAGTTTTAATGGGGATATCAGCAAGCGGTATTGCTGCGAGGAGAAGCCACTGTGTATTAGCATTCAGGTAACGCTTGGTTGAAGAAACACATGCATTTCACCAATTATCTCAATTCATTCAATAACTTTGAAGAAGGCATCTTAACTTCTGTTCCTTATTTGTTGTAAATAAATCACAATAACAGTGTTAAGATGAGCAGTTAAGGAGGTCACTGATGCAACATGGCTTTTTTGCAATCGTTACAGAGTAATCTACATTCGCCCACAAAACACACTGTCACTACACTTTAGCCTCATCTCGTGAGACATTCTCCCAAGCGAGAAAGGCGCATATTATTATTTCTATCATATTTAAACTTGTTGGCTAGTTATGTGAGGAGGAAAGCTGTGTATTTTCCTGTTTTACTCTGGGACCAGCCAGAAGGACCACAATGGTCTTTTCCGTTCCCGCACATTCGTTCCTCAACCTTCCCAGGTTCAGAGCTCCAATAATAATAATAATCCTTGCATTTGATATAGCTCTTTTCATGTCGGGAGGACGTTCCAAAGTGCTTCACAGGATATACTGTAAAGTGAATTGACTGTATATTTGTGGGCGAACGCGGCAGCCAATTGCGCACAGCAATGTCCCACAAACAGTCGTAGATTGAAAATGACCAATTTATTATTGTTTTGGGTTTTGGAGGGATTATTATTAGGCTCTGTGTGGAGTAAGGAAACTTGCCCAAGGTTTCGCCCTCTGCCTGGAATTGAACTCGGGTCTCTCGCTTGCAAAGCGAGTGCTCTAACCACTGAGCTACAGGACTCCACATATATTCCTCCAAGACGCTGTCCTACCTGAAGGGCACTACATAAATGCAAGTTGTTGCTGTTATTAATTCAGGACTGTCACTTTTCCCACCCAGTTATTTCTATGACTGTGTGGCCGCCATTTAAACAAAAGATTAGACAGGAGGAGAGCCAGAATCAGTTATTTTAACACAGGATCCCAAATTGGCGTCTGGGGATTTGCGAGATTGTTTCCTCGCTGCGGAGCTGGGAGACTGAGTGGGAGGTCCTCAGTCAGGGTACTTAATGTCCTCGGGCAGGGGCTGGGGGGATGGGTGTCTTGAGCTCTTTTGAAGGGGTTTGGGAACTCCTTCAAAAGCAACTTAGATTTATTTTAGAAAATAATATTGTGGGATACAGTATATAGTTTGTGACATGACATGTGCATGTGAATGCCAGGATGGTGGAAGGTGAACTGGATGGACCTTGGTCTTCTTATGTTCTTATGTAACCCCTGATTTAACACAGGATGTGGCCATATGGCCTGTGAGGTCCATGCTGTGATGTTTCTCCCCACCCCGTACATTTCTCAGAGGCTCACCACCTTGGTTTGGAATTGAAGTCCCGTGAGTCTGTGTGACCTGAAGAAATTCGCTGGAGAAAATAGTTAGAAATACCGTGTTTTATAATAATAATAATCTTCGCATTTGATCCAATGCCTTATCAAGTTGTCAAAACGTCTCAAAGCGTTTCACAGAATTTACTGTGAAGTATAGCGTGAGCTTGTTAAACTCCAGCAGTTACCCCCAACATGGAATACCGAAGCTTTAGCTCTGCACCTAATACTCTAGGATTAGGTAAGTAAGCAGGATGTGTCCCTCCAGCAAGAGAGTTTGCGCATTCCATTACAGATGCGGGAAATTTCCACATTTACGTGGTATACAACAACAACAACTTGCACTTAAATAGCGCCCTCCAGGCAGGGTAGCGTCTCAGAGCGCTTAACAGTGGCAGAGCCTGACTTCGAGCTGGGGTGTCGGGGCGGAGGTGGCCATAAGCACGGTTGAAAAGGAAAGTTTTCAGGCGGGACTTGAAAGAGGGGAGAGATGGGGCAAGGCAGAGGGATTGAGGGAGAGTGTTCCAGAGTTTTGGAGCGTAGTGGCTAACAGCACGACCTCCAGTAGTGGGGCGGAGGGTGCGAGGGACAAGCAGGAGGCCGGTGCCAGTTGAGCAGAGACGCCGGGTGGTGGATTGGGGAGTGAGGAGATCCGAGAAGTAGGGAGGTGCCAGGGAGTGAATGGATTTGAACCAAGGAATCAAATGAGGATATAAATGTAGAACTCTGTCTGGTTTGGATACTACTAAGTTTGCCGACGGGTTTTCGTGGGACACCCGCTGACCAAAAAAAATGACCTTCACCCTCCACTCCCTCCTTCCTTGTCTCGCCACCACCAGCTCTGTCCACTGTCTACTCTGTGAAGTGCTTTAAGATGAACTCCTGATGTGAAAGGCGCTGTATAGATATAAGATTATTGTTGTGGCGAGTGCATTTCTGGACAAACAGTTTAGCAGTCATTGCAGGGCTGTCACCCTATCATCCCCACCTTCGCCCGGCTCCACAGGTTCCCCATCCTCCAAAAGATAGAGTTCAAAATCCTCGTCCTTGCCTTCAAAGCCCTCCACAGACTTGCTCCTTCCTACCTCTGTGACCCATTACCTCATAGACCTGTCTGCTCCCTCCGATCAACAGACTCAGGCCTGCTCCATGTCCCTCGCACAGCCCATCAACTGTGGTAGGACCTCCTTAGGTCCATCCCACAGTCTCTTCGCCTCGCTCCCTCCTATGCCTCCTTCAAAGCCCGTCTCAAGACCCTCCTCTTCGACTGCCTTTTGGTCACCCTCCTTCCCCCACCCTCCCTGCCTCCACCCCTCCTGATCCCATCCCCCTGCTTAAATCCAAATCTAATTGTCTAGAGACTTAGGACGTCCTCCCGACGTGAAAAGCACTTTACACATGTAATTTGTTGTTGTTTGAAGGCCATTGGGTCTGAGTTAGACTGAGCTGAACTCTCTTCTCTCTGCAGGAGTTTGAAAAGAGGAAGATGCTGTGATCCTCCCGCAGGAAAGGCACCAAAAAAAAACGTCTGAAAGTCCCGTCACCGAGTCAGCCCTGCTCGTTCGTCTGTCTTACTATTCACTTCTCTGAATGAAATGAGTGAAGAAAGCACATCTAACAACTAAGCCATAGACGTATTGTGTTTTGTTCGGATTTGTACAATAGACAAAGGAACTCACAGAGAAAATAAATACATTTAAAATTGTCTTCTAATTTTAGCTGTTTGTATATTGGGTTTCCACTTTACAGGACGATGAAGAATGCCTCATCATCTAACTCCCCCCCCCCCCCCGTCTCTTCCACTCGTTTGGCTGCTTTCGGCAAGTAATAATAAGTAAATGATAATAATGCTTGCATTTGATACAGAGCTTTTCACATCTTCTAGACGTCTCAAAGCGCATCACAGAATGTACTGTAAAGTGAATTGACTGTATATTTGTGGGCGAAACGTGGCAGCCAATTGCGCACAGCAGTGTCCCACAAACAGCGTGGATTGAGTGACCAAATTAGTATTTTTTTTTTTTCTTGAGGGTTTATTATCAGATGTGTGGAGTAAGGAAACTTGCCCAAAGTTTTGCCCTTCCAGGAATCGAACCCAGGTCTCTCGCTTGCGAGGCGCGTGCTCTAACCACTGAGCTACAGGATTCCCCAAAGTACAGTGTTTCTCTAAGTGATTATTGTGGAATCCTGTAGTGGTTAGAGCACTCGCCTCGCAAGCAAGAGGTCTCAGGCAGGACGAAGCAGTAGGCAAGGTTCTTTACTCCATACCCCTCTGTTAACCTAGCAGTAAGTAGGAACCTGGTTATTAGTCAATTGGCAGACTCTTTCTGGGGTAATAATCCCTTCAATTGGCTGCCACAGTTCGCCCACAAAATACACAGTCAATTCACTTTACAGTATAGTCTGTGAACTGCTTTGAGAAGTTTCAACAACGTGATGAGGCACTATTTCAAATGCAAGGATTATTATTGACTGGGTATCATTCACCCGAACCCAGAAACCAGCCTTACTTAATTACACCCTTGTGAAATCCGAATTTAATTCTGAGCAGCAATTCAAGGCAACCTATGTGGTCTATTTCACCTTCAGCTCAATATTTCCAACCCCCACCCACACCACCCATTCCCCTCCATCCCCTCCACTTTGTCCAAAAAAAGAGAAATAAGATGCATCAAAGATTCTTAGCCCTCTCCCTTTCTCCTTGGAGACTCCCCACGTTGACTTATCAGTGTGCTCATCCATCCGCACGTCCACAGTTCATCTCCTTAATGATCCCCTTCTGGCAATTCTTGTTGGCTCTAAGGTCGGATTTAATTCTGTCACCAAGAATTTCTCTGATATGAATTTTTTGCCTCTCTACCTCACCATCTCGTTCTCTCTCTCTCTCTCCTCACTATCTCTCCCTCATACACTATTTGGACAGAGGGATGTCTGTGAGTAACACTGTGACTGTGTGTAACATTCCATGACTGTATAACACTCAGGACCATCCTTATCGCACCTTGTCAATAATATTCCTTGCGTTGGATACAGTGCCTTATCACGTCATGAAAAGCATCTCAATTCGCTTCACAGGCTGTTACTATGAAGCACAGAGAAGGCCTATTTGCAAACAAACATAACAGCCGATTTGCGCACAGCATTGTTCCAGAAAGCTCTCGAGGTGAATTACATTTTTTATTTGAGGAAATGTTAGTCAGAATACAAGGAGAAACTCACTTCACAGTTTGAACAGTGCCGCAGGATTTTTAACACCCAGCTGAACAGGTACAAATGGGACCTCAGATTAATGTCTCATCTGAAAGATGGAGCAACAGCTCTGCAGTGCAGTGTCAGGCCAGAGTAACAGCAGCTTACATCCCCCACGTGGGGCTCACACCACATGGCTCTACCCCAGAGGCGAGTGTGCTACCAACTGAGCCAAGCTGACAGCTTTTAAATATCATTAGATTAGGCTGGAAGGAAGAGCATTTGGGGTTGCTGTAAGGACAAGAGAGCTGTTACTATCCTCAGGAACAACTTCCACCTCATTGATTGAAATAGTCTGTGTGTTCCACTGTGTGCACTTTCCTACAATGGAAAGCAAATGAGTTAGTTATGCAAGTTTGATAAGGAATATAGTTAGATGAGTAAGTTAATGCAAACTAGATAGATTTCTTTTAGGAAATCATTTCTTGGAATACAGTATATAGTTTGGGAAATGACAAGCGACTGCCGGGATGGTGGAAGGCGAACTGGATGGACCGTGGTCTTCTTTTGTCCAGCAAATTCTTATGTTCTTATAGACTCTGGACAGAGGTGTGATTGTTTCATCTCGAAGTCAGAGTGATAATAATATAATAATAATAATCCTTGAATTTGATATATCACCTTATCATGTCTCAAAGCGCTTCATATTGTGGACAAAACACAGCAGTGAAATGAGTCACCAAATATTTTTTTGAAGGGATTATTGCCCTTAGAAAATGTGATCCAGCAATCGACTAACACCCGGGTTCCTAATTACTGTAGAGGCACGTGGAGTAAGAAAACTTGTCTAAGGTTTCATCCTGCCCAGGAATCAAACCCAAGTCCTTTCACTTGCGAGGCGAGCTTGGTAACCACTACGCGATATGACTGTTCAAGACCCATGTTAGTCCACGCTAATGTGTCAGTGCAGTGCTGGGGGACTGCTGCATTGTAGGAGGTGCCATCCATCTTCGTATCAGATGTTATAATAATAATCTTGCAGATTGACACGGCTCCTTATCACATTGTCAAGACTTCACGCAGTGATTCACAAGATGTTACTGTGAAGTGGAGCGAGTGTATTTTTGTAGGCGAACACAGCCTCAATTTGCACACAGCAACGGCCCCTACACGTGGCTATGAAGTGAATAACTGATTTGATCTGGAAGAAATTCCATTTTCTTTTTGAATAGTGTCACAGGATCATTAACGTAAACCTGGACAAGAACAGATGGGAATTTGTTTTAACGTCTCATCTGAAGGACGACATCTATGAAAATGCAGCCCTTCCTCAGACCTGTACTGGAGCATCATCCTCGATTGTGAGCTCAAAGTCTCAATGTGTGGGCTTGAACCCACAGGTCCGGGGTTAGATACATGGAATGAGCAGGTAATGCACTCACTGGAGACAAGTGTGGGAGAGGACATGAGCTGCAGAATTCTGGATAGCCTGCAACTTCTGCATGAAGGAGCCGGGGAGTCTGTCAAGCAAAGTGTTGGTGTAGTGAAACCTAGATATGACAAAAGCATGGATGAGGATCTCGAGGGGAGAGGTAGTGGAGGAGGCGGGCAATATTTCGGAGCAATTTCAGCAGAGCTATGGCAGGAATGAGGGCAACTCAGTGCTAATTACAAAGACCGGCCACCTGGCAATGATTGTTCATGATGCAACGACAACTTGCACGTATATAGCGCCCTCCATGCAGGGTAGCATCTCAGAGTGTTTATGCATGATAGGTTCATGCCACACTTTTAATTGTGAATTAAGCCTCACTGCCTTATAACTACTGTCTGACACCAGGAAGTCGATTATAAGCATCAGATCCCTACAGTTTTCACAGTGTGGTTTGCTGCCATACGTGCGGATGGGAATGCTCTGGATCAGCCGGGTGTCTGACACATGTGGAAACCCATCACTATGCTTAACAGTATCCAAACCAGTCTGAGAATTCCATGCATCCCACTTACACATGGAAATTCCCATATATTGGAATGGAATGCAAACTCTCTCCCTGGAGGGATGCTTACTTAATTCTGGGGGTATTAAATTCAGGTTGGCAAGAGCCAAGGCTCGGGGGCTCCAGAGTGTGCGTTGAGGGTAACAGTGGAGTTTATCAGCTAAAATAGCTGCCTGTTCAGGTGGACATTACAGATCCTATACCACAATTTGAAAAAGTGATAAAAGTTTCTCCCAGTGTCCTGGTCAATAATTTCACAGATAAAATTGATCAATCGATGCCTGACTATTTGTAGTAATAATAATCCTTGCATTTGATGTAGTGCCTTATCACATCAGAAGGATGTCTTAAAGCACTTCACAGAATTTACTGTGAAATGGAATGATTGTGTATTTGTGTTTTCTTTTCACAGGTGGCGCTGTTGGTCAGACAAACCCCTTGTGTTTATCTCCTGCTGGCATCTATTCCATTAAAAGGCATGTCAGCCATCACTTTATCAATGAGCTTTTAACATTTCTTTTCGCACTTGTACATTATGTATGCAGGCATATTTTCAATTCAAAAGCCCCGTGTCTTTAGGTATATTCACAAATGTCTCTGTTTGCCTCTGTGTGTCCGTCTGCCTGTCCCTCTGACCTTCTGTCTATCTCTGTATCAAGTGTCATACGCTTTGGGACATGAACTGTCTTATGTCAAAGGTATTTAGCTCAATCCCTGGAAAGATGATTTTTGGGTTATTTTGGGCGTTCGTCTCCAGCACACAAAAAGCCCATCAATTGTGACCAGTAAAAGCTTAATGGGTAACATTAAATAGTTTTTGCCATCGCTGACAGACCAAGAATTGAGTAAATGACAGTCATACATCGAGGCACTTTACCACAATTACTGGAATCAAGGAACAACTGAAAAGCAATAACATCTTTGCTGGAACATCGTTGCCTGAATTTAACGAAAATGTTTTATGCTCTGTCTCAGTGATTAGAGCACTCCATGTAAGAAGACCTGGGTTCGATTCACAGGCAGGGCGAAGCGTTGGGCATGTTTCCTTACTCCACAAGCTTCTGCTTACCCAGCAGCAAGTAGTAACCCGATTGTTAGTCGATTTGCGGATCGCTTTTGCAGCGGTAATAATCACTTCAAAAAAAAATGTGGTCACTCAATCCAACTGCTGTGCGCAATTAGCTTCTGTGTTTCGCTCACAAAATATACAGTCAATTCACTTCACCGTATATTCTGTGAAGTGCTTTGAGACGTCTCGAAGACGTGATAAGGTGCTATGTTAAGTGGAAAGATTATTATTATATTAAAAATAATTGTTACAGTTTTATAAAGGTTTGCTTTTAATAATAACTGGCATTTGATGAATGCCCTTATCACTTAGAGATGAATAAAGCACTGGGGCGTGCTGCATTGTTGGAGGAGCCTCCTTCATATCCAACATTAAACTGAGGCCTTCTATACCTGTTCACATGGCGCTACTTGAAAAGAGAAGGGAGTTTCTCTCTCCTGATGTGGTGATC